GCCTACAGACTTCTCTCGGTCACGCCTCAGCCCCGCGGGAGGAGTCACCGTGAGGCCCCACCTCTCACGTTCCTACCTCCCGAGGAAGGGACCTCGAGAGCGTCTGATTGGCTGAGGAGGGCGTGGCCAAAAGAAGGGGCGGGGCGACCAGGACCTTGGGCAGGCGTGAAGGGAAATTTCAGTTTAGTTACGTCCAGAGGGAAAAGGGGACGGGACTGTTAGCCCATTTCGTGCTGGAGCACCGTAGGTCTGCCTGCCGTCGAATACAGAATGTGTCTTCAAGGACTCAGCACATAGTAATTACCAATTTAAGCCCCAATACTTCCTGCGGACCTTAGCAATTTAAAAAACTACATTTCCCAGAAACCTCAGCGAAAACGAGCCTCACCTTGCGTAACCACGTAGTCCTTCGCCGCCTTCCAACAAAATAATCCCTTCATTTTTCTGAAGGTATGGGGAATAATATTTCATTTTTCTCCTCACCGGAACACTCTTAAAAGCTGCGATAAGAGAAGTTACCTTTGAGAAGGTGGTTAAGCGATTAGGTAAAGGGAAAGAAAAGACATCAAAATAAAGTACTGCGGAGGAATTTTTGTCAAGCTGTGAGACGGCGGAGTGAGAAGAGTGAAGGCGATTGAGAGGGGCTCAGGGAATTGTCCTCTGTGCCAGGGACTTTCTTTAGGCCCCAGGCCCCTGCCTGCCCCTATCGTCAGCAGGTCAGTAAGCAAGGCGAGCTTGGGGGTGGCCACAGTGGAGGTGCCTTTCACTCCTTGAAGATCATCCCTCTTTTGCTGTTGTTACTGGTTTGTCTGGGTTTGAGGCCGACTGAATGGGGGTGCCTCACTTCCGGTTGGGGGAGGGGAGGAAGGCCATCCTGGGGGAGGGGGAACATAACTCACTTCCTGGTGGGGGTAGGGTGATGGTTGGGGTGTCCAACCCACTTCCTGTGCCGGCGAGGGCTTGGAAAGGTGATGCTTGGTGCCATATGCATAGAGGGTATCTTAAAGCTTTGGGATTGTGTCTTATGAGGAAAATTAGGTTATTCAACGAAGTTGTGCTAATCACCAGCCTCCAATCAGAATTTATGTGAGTTTTGGTTCCACATACAAGATGGAAAATTTTCTCCTCTACAGAGTTTTTTTTTTTTTAATGCATTCTTCAAATAATTCGAAACCCCTTGTTAAAATTCTCTACTCAGCTCTACAGGACGACATACTTTTTGGTATGACTCATGAATTGCCCACCCCTGTCCCACTACTCAAGTCCAACCTTGACTGAGTGAGATATAGCGGTGTCCTGTGCCTTGACATGCCACAGAACCCTGTAGCTGCTCTTAGGGAGGTGGTTTATTACAGGACTCAGTATTTTACATAAAGTATGAAGCATTTTCACCTTACCAGAGTGAAAATATCATACTGGAGTACTCAATTGCTTGATGTTGCCTTAACTGATAGGATTGGCATCTTAAATTCTTACACCTGTTGATTTTAGGCTACAGGTGCCCTGTGCCTGAAAACCACTTCTCAGCCTTAAAAATTCTTACGTGTAACTTACATGTAGCATATGTGAAAGTTGCACTGTAGTACATTTTCCCCCTTTTGTAATTTAGTTAAATTAAGCACCGATTAAAAAATAGGGTTTGCACTTTGTGGTTTTCAGACATGGTACAAGGATCATGAAATTCGGCTCAGATTTTAAGTAGGGGAGAAAATTGTCTCACAAAACAAAAGATGAGTGCCAGAACTTTCTATTTTTCCTATATTCTCAATGTTTTATAAGAAACTATACATAAAGTGGTAATAAACACTCAACAGTTTGATTCCTTGGCTTTTCTTTTCAAGTACCAAAATATTTGGAGAGTAAGGAGGGTACTGAAGGAATTAATGTATTTGGAGCTTATGAAATCTCAACAACTTTAGTAATTTTAGAATAGCAAGTGAATTGTAATGTCTTTCAAGACTTTTTAAAAGAATAAGGCTTGTGAATTTTTTCCTTTGAGGTTGTCACGTAATCTGCCCTCAGAATTTGCGATTGTTTTAATTCTAGTTCTTTTTAAAAGCTAGTTCCTTTAGTAGAGTTTATTAGAAACTGTGTTTTAAACTAAAATGTTAATTAAACCTGTGTAACTTAAATGTTACAGTAAAAAAAAACAACAACATGGTTTAACCTTCTATAGACATTAAAACAAAAACAAACTAAGAACCTAAAATCAGTGAGTTATCTTTTGAAGGACTACAGAATTTCTGAAGAAGTTGGAAAGACAAGACACAATTATGTCTGTGTCATTATTGATAGAAGGTTAGGGACATGTAGACTGCCTCAAGCAAGCATTAATTGATTAGAAAGAAAGTGTTCATTATCTTCTTTCTTAATGTAATATAGAAGAAAACATGATCACCCTGACAAATTAAACTATTAAGCTACAGTATTAAGAATTATTTAAGTAAGTAAAGATTTGGAAGTAAATGAAATAGATAGAGAAAAGATAGTAAAAATGTTGATTGAGATACAGTAGTATTGCCTTTAGGAAATTATCTTTGGAAAGCAAAGGAGTTTTTTTTTCAATTGGTCTTTATTCTATGCCCTGGAAGAAATGCACTATAGTAAAAATAAGAAAAACTGTTGCAGCAGAGAGACCTGAGCAGCTTGAAGAACTGTCTGTAAGAGAGCAATTTGTAAAGCATGTATCTGAAAGAAGATGTTTTGTGATAAGTGGCAGTTATTCATTGGTTCCATCAAAGAAGAAATACTGGAAAAGCTTGTGGAAAATAGAGGGAAGTGCATGGAACCTGCTTTTATTCTCTTTAAAAGTATTTCTGGTAGAGAGGCTTGCAGTCTTCCAAAGGCATTTTTTTTTTTCTCTTAATGCTCCTTGTTGCAGTTTTCTTTGCATGTTCTAACAGAAACATACTATCAAAATTAGAAAAATACTTTTGTAAGTGTACTCTGTTACTTCTTTAAGGAATTTGAGATTTTTCATTCCATTATTTGTCATCAATAATAAATTGTCCTTTTTTTTTTTAGAGTGTTCAGATTAGATAACCATTTTCTCTTCCAAGAGCAGTTACTGAATACACTGCTCACAGCAGTTTGAAATATTAAAACAGAAGGTCAAAATTCTGGATTCCATCTCACTGAAATTTGATTATCCAGAGTGTTAGATGCTATATAAAATGCAGGAGTGTCTTTTCATTCTTTTGTCTGCCTTTCTTTGTAAAATCATGCTATTGTTTTACAACTACTGCCTTTTTGTATGTTTGTTTTGGTAGTTCCTTGTTTTTGCCATGGGATTGAGTATTAAAGAGGATATGCCAACAATATGAATGGTTTTTAAACTTACTGTTCTGCTGTCTTTATCTCTATTTCAGGGCCTTCAAGAGTATTCAAATGAGAATACTCCTTTCATGACTTGCCATTATTTAAACAAAAGTTTATTGAGTGCTTACTGTATATTAGTCTGTTTTAGAGACTTGGAATACATCAGTGTATAGACAAATATCCTTATTCTCTTGGAGTTTACTCTCTAGTTTCCAAATCAAAACTGGGATGTTGTTCCCTTGGTATTACCAAATGAGATCTATAGCGTGATCATTGTTCAAGCTGGATCTACAAGCAGCCCTAAACTTGATCTCTGTTGGTCTTCATCTCTAAGCCATTCAAACGTTTTGAGTAGTTTAGTCTAATGTTTCTCCAAACCATTAAAGGGTGTTAAATGGTCAACCCTTTTCATTGATGCATGCATCATTCTAACCCCCTTTGTGAACAGTGAACAGTGGGGAAAATATGGGATCAGACAGGTATGTGTTCAAAAGTGGTATCTACATTTTACTAGCTAAGCTTACTAGCTTGGTAACCTCAAACAATTTACCTGATTGAGTCTCTGAGCCTCACTTGCCATAAACCTAAATGTTGTTTGGTGGATCAAGTATATTATATGTAAATCATCCGGTACAGTGCCTGGCATTAGGAGCTTAATGAATGCTATTGTTTTTACCCTAGTTTTGCTTCTGTTATTTTAGCTGTTGGGATTTGCCTGCATGTCTGTTTTAAGCCTTATGTACTCCCAAAAGTATGGGATTGCTGTGCTAGGATTATTGTAATTCTGCCTTCCCTGATCTAAGTGAGCTAACCATGCTCACGTAGCTGTCAAGATTTTATTTTTTGTTCCTTGCAGAAGGAGAAATCACTGATTTCCATGATCACTTTAGATAATAAGCATAATAGAAGAGTTTCAAGAAAAAGTTAAGGAATCATGAAAATAATTTGAATTGTTAAACAAGGACTTTGGAATCATTCTTCTAAACCTATTTAACTACTAAGCCTAGCATTCAAGAGCATTCTCTCAGCCATCTACACATTCCAAACTAGACTGTTCTCTGAAAAATTCTGTACTGTACCCAGCCTTTTCTGTCTTTGTTCACACTATCCTCTGCGTGAAACACTTTCTCTTTTCCTAGGAATCCTTATCTGTCAGAATGCCACCTTCTTTGTGGCCCTTTCTCAAATATCATCTTCAGCTTTAAGAAGTATTTTGTTGTCTGTCCTCTTCTCTCTCCATTTTCCCAACCATATATGCTCTGTTGACCCTCCAGAGGGTTTTGTTCTTTTCTTACGGCATTTAATTTCTAGTGCCACTGCTGCCGTTGTATGTTTCTGTTGTTGTTACTGTCATTAGTAGAGTTTATGGAGTGTCATACAGTCTGCAGACTGTAACATATTCCTGTGCATGCTGTCATCCCTAGCACAATGCCATTCACATCATTAAGTATTCAGTAAATACTTGTGGAGTTGAATTGGGAATTGAAGTAGATGAAACTGATCAATAGCTTTTGTTCACTGTTTATACCCAACATTAAACACAGTGACCAGCGTACAGCAAACACTTAAAGATCTGCTGAACGAAGGAGTGAATAAGTCATCATTCTCATTTGTGAGCATCTTAGGGTGTCAATATGTTGAGCATATATTAAACACCTACTGTATAATTAGACCTGTGAGGATTGATTCCTGCCCTCAGTTTAATTGGAAAGAACTAAGTTGTAATTAATATGTAAAGATTCTGAAGATTGAAGGTGTTTGAGTGAAGGTAGAGTGGGGAGGTCAGTATAGAGTTGTTTGCATTGAGAGATATCCTAGGTTATCTGAACTCAGCAAAAGAGTAAATTTAGATATCAAGAGATACTTAACTTGCAATTCCACTCCTAGTTATATACCCAAGAGAACTGGAAATACGTTCACACAAAAACGTTTTCCCCAAACGTTCGTAGCAGCATTAGTCATAAGAGCCAAAAAAACAGAAACAAACCCAAATGTTTGTTAATTAATAATGAATAAACAAAATATATTATAGCCATACAATGGAATATGGTTCATCAATTAAAAGGAATGGAGTAGTGACAATGCTATAAAATGGATGAACCTTGAAAATATTACACTAAAGTGAACAAAGCCAGACACAAAAGGCCATATACTATATGATTCCATTTATATATGGTGTCTAGAATAGGCAAATCCATAGAGACAAAGTATATTAGCGTGCCAGGAGCTGGGGGCTGGGAATAGGGAGCGACTGCTAATGTGTATGGAGTTTCTTGGGGGGTTGGGGGCAGCCAGGTGATGAAAATGTCCTGGAATTAGATAGTGGTGATGGTTGCACAACCTTGATACTAAAATACCTTGTATTCCAATATACTAAAAACCACTGAATCGTACGTTA